ACATCGGCGCTTTAGAGACACAAGCGTGTCTTTGTTTCCATGAAGACAGATGGAGAATTCTGCTGTACTTCCGGTTCTGGGAATCGCACACTAAAATACTGTAGGAAACCATGTCGTAAACCAGAAATCAATGTAGCAAACTGCAGTCAAGCAACCAGATAAACCACAGATCACTGAGTCTCATTCACTACGTGGATGATGAAATATGTTTAATTGTAGACTAAATTTCAGTACAAAAATTAATCTGTTTGGTTTTTAGGCATTTGCTAGTGTGTTGCTATGTGGTTGCTAGGCAGTTGCTAGGGTGTTGCTATGTGGTTGCTGGGCAGTTGCTATGTGGTTGCCGTTGTGTAGTTGCTAGGGTGTTGCTATGTGGTTGCCAGTGTGTTGCTGTGTGGTTGCTAGGCAGTTGCTAGGGTGTTGCTATGTGGTTGCCAGTGTGTTGCTGTGTTGTTGCTATGTGGTTGCCAGTGTGTTGCTGTGTAGTTGCCAGGCAGTTGCTAGGGTTTTGCTATGTGGTTGCCAGTGTGCTGCTGTGTGGTTGCTAGGCAGTTGCTAGGGTTTTGCTATGTGGTTGCCAGTGTGTTGCTGTGTAGTTGCTAGGCAGTTGTTGTTTTAAATATTTGGTACAAAGTTGAATGAATATGTATGCAGCGTTTGTAAATGAGACTCATTGTCTGTATCAAGCCGCAGCTGATGTGACGGGATTCTCAACCTTTGTTAACACTGCTGAATGTGCTGATGTCTAGTGTTTGAGCTCCAGCACGGCTGTCTGTGTAAATATGAAACACTGAGTTGTAAAATATGTTTTTATTTGTTTGGCTCTTTGCTTGTTTAATTAATAAAGTGCCTAGTGTTTCAAGCTTCTGACAAGAAACACACACACACACTTCAGTGTGAATCTAAAGCTGGTTTGTTCTGCTGAGTCAGAAATTAATTTACTGGATTGAGTTCTGAATGACACATTGATTTACTGATGTGTTTACCTTTAATCAATCACGAACACACACACACACACACATTTATCTGTCTACAGAATCAGTTCATCTGAAACCTTATTCAGCAAAACCCAACAGAGCTACTGCAGAATCCAAACACACCAGCAGCTGCCTAGCAACACCCTAGCAACCACCCCAGAACACATTAGGAACCAGGGCTTAAAAACGAAAAATAAAATTTCAATCGGTTCACTCCGAGCAGAATCAGTATTTTAACGTTTCTGTTCATGCATTCCTTCTGTATTATTACTGTTCCGAAACTGGTTTGAGTAGACAAAGTACCGGTTAATAACGTTATTTATTTTTTACTTTTTTTTTTCAATAATAATAATAAGTACAATGTTTTCTTTACTCCAAAAAAAAAATCCTTAGTCTGGTATCATGCATTGTCATAGCCAATAAAGCATCATCGTTTATAACAAGATTTTTTTTTGTATTAAACGAAAGGAAAAATTGTCAACGCTTTAAAGAAACTAAAGATTTTTTTCAAGATATTTAAAAATGTTTGATGCATGGTTAAAAAAAATCCGCTGCTTAAATAAAATTGTGTTTTGAGAGGAAAAAAGATAAGTCGCGTAGGCTATGCGTCGCATTCAGAAATAAAGTAGGCTAAAATACCGGTAAATAAAGCAAAATGTTTACAAACATTATAAACACAGCTAGGCTATTTTAGTTCCCTTCTCTCCACAACAAATCCTCTAAAGTTAACAGTATTAGGCTATATAAACGTCAAGCCAAAGCGAAATAATTTAAAGCGAAACTGAAGCCTACCTCTCTCACTCGGCACGAATCCAAATGTTTCCATATTCGTGATGTATCTGGATGCTAAACTATTATTTATTATGTAAACTATAGGCTTTGTACTTCACTCGCATTATCGACGTAAATCATCATCCTTCACATAACGCTGAATGGCACAGAGTGTAGTACTATTTAAATTGAGCGGTGTAACTTTTTATATGTTTCTTTATCTGGATTTTATTTTGATAATTACCAGGCTGCGATTTCAAGTTATCAAAAAATGTTGTGTGTGATGACTTGACAGCTGAGCGCGAGCGTTTCATTCGTTGTATGCGTCAGCATTACATTTGCATAGGCCGTACTGTTTGAATTCGTGATTGGTTGATAGCAAAATTAAAATACTAAAGTACTTTTCGTTCCTTGAAGTGGTTCAGAGCCCTGATAGGAACTGTCTGTTAACACCATAGCAACCATCCAGAACACCATAGCAACACTAGCAGCTACATATCAACGCCTTAGCAACCATCCAAAGCGCCCTAGCAACTATTGCTAGGGACAGTATCTGTGCCTGTCTTGGGTTTCTAACGTGCTGATTGAAGGGTTTGTGTCGTTCAGTTCTGGTCACGCGGGAGGCGTCGCTGATCGAGTGTTAGCTCAGCTGCTGACAGAGATGGATGGAATCGAACAGCTAAAAGACGTCACGGTTCTTGCTGCAACCAACCGACCTGATATGATTGACAAGGTACGGCTGATCCACGCACACACACACACACCACAGACACACACACTCACTCACTCACACACACACACACACACGTTTCCTCCTGCTGGGTTTGAGAGCTTCAACTTCCTGCGGTCAGAGGCTCACAGCAGCTGTCACTCATCCTGATTGACAGCTCCTCCTTCAGTCTCAGACCCCCTGCAGGATCCAGCCGTCCTACAGATCTGTTGGAGTAAACCACATGTGTGTTACACACACACACGCACACACATACACACACACACACACGCATACACACATACACATTTATACACACACACACACACACACACACACACATACACACACACACACACACGGCATCATTTGAATCTCACACAACCAAATGGAGAAAGAGTCAGTGTCAAACACACTCCTGAACTCTCCTCAGCTGCTGTGAGTGTGTGTGTGTGTGTGTGTGTGTCTCTGTCTCTTAAGTTTGGGTAAACCTTCTTTTGAGGACATTTGAGGAGCCTCAGCTGAAAAAAAAAAAAGATTCATAAAGTATTTTCTTTTTCTTTTGTGTATAGTCATAACTTTTATTTTATAATCATTTTAAACTATTCTATAGGCAGAGGCTCACAGCAGCTGTCACTCATCCTGATTGACAGCTCCTCCCTCAGTCTCAGACCCCCTGCAGGATCCAGCCATCCTACAGATCTGTTGGAGTAAACCACATGTGTGTTACACACACACACACACACACACACACACACACACACACACACACACACACACACACGGCATCATTTGAATCTCACACAACCAAATGGAGAAAGAGTCAGTGTCAAACACACTCCTGAACTCTCCTCAGCTGCTGTGAGTGTGTGTGAGTGTGTGTGTGTGTGTGTGTCTCTGTCTCTTAAGTTTGGGTAAACCTTCTTTTGAGGACATTTGAGGAGCCTCAGCTGAAAAAAAAAAAAAAGATTCATAAAGTATTTTCTTTTTCTTTTGTGTATAGTCATAACTTTTATTTTATAATCATTTTAAACTATTCTATAATTATTATTAAATAATTAAAAATGATTAATAATATTATTAAATGATTAAAAATGAATAATAATAAATTTAGATAAATCATAATAATTAATTATTATTTTATAATAATTTTTACTTATAATAAATGTTGATAATAATAAAATTTGAGGAGCCTCCGTTGGAAAAAAAATCATGAATATTTTAAAATATATATATTTTTTTCTTTTAGTGTTTGTGTCATTATAATTAACGTTACATACAAATTATGGAAATCTTTGCTCCTTTATATAGGGAAGTAAGTGTGGTTTTGATCTTAATCTTTAAATAATGCAGTTTCGTGAAGGTGTATGTATTATATGTCTGTATGTAATGAGAAAGAGTTAGATTTTTCTGACGTTGTTGTTGTGTTTAGTCATTTTTTTTATTTAGTCATTTATCAGACGCTTTTATCCAAAGCGACTTACAATTGAGGACAACAGAAGCAATCCAGTGTAGTATTAAAACAACTAAAAACAGATCCAAAACTAAAAGCTAAAACTTTATAAATAAAGAGATTAAATAAAAATGACAAATGCATACAACAGAAATTCAAAACTTAACATTTAAATGAAAAACTAAAAAAAAAGCTAAAAACAATTCAAAATATTAAAGAACAAAAGGTATGAGTATAATAATGATTCTAGCATAACACTAAGCCAAACACCAAAAAAACAACTACATGTGTGTATGTACAGCCACACACACACACACACACACACACACACACACACACAAACACACGTGCTAAAAAACAACAACTTACTTACTCATAGTAAGAAACGGTTATAAAAACTGAAACAGAAGCGAAACAAGTAACTGAGAAATAAAAAGCGATACTTGTCCTTTGCCGGTGTCCTGCCCGGTGGAGTCGCACGGTACACTGTAAAAAATGACCGTGAATTTAACAGTAAGATACTGTAAAAATGCTACAGTAAAATCCTGTTAAATGGTTAATGCTAAATTCTCCTACTATATACGGTGAAAAACTGTATTGGACATTACATGTAATATTATGGTAGTATACCGTTTTTGAAAGTGAAAAAGACCGTATAATTTACAGTGAATAACCGTAAATTGACATTCCCAGAATTCCCTGCGTTACATTTGAAATTTGATGTTTTTGTGTTGAAATAACTATGTTTCTTCTTAGTTTTTCTTATCAGTTTTGTACATTAGGGTTGTGTGTTACACCTAATGTTGTTAATGTTTATTGCATTATTTCAGTTTCATGTGTGTTACCGTGATGGTGTTTAGTGTTTGTGTGAATGACACTGTGCACCTTCTATATATGTTATTATTTAAAAGCTGCTTGTGATGGGCTTTGGTTCATCGTGTGACTTTCTCATCGCCTCCTGCATTTGGTGGTTATCAGTGTATCACAAAGCTACAAAACAGATTTCAGTACTTCAATAGGTTGGTATATTAACATTATATCAGTTAATGAAATTACGGTATTTAACTGTAAATTTAAGTTAAAACCGTAAGACCTAAAACGTTGCTACCGTATTTTTTACGGCAAAATTCCGGCAACCACAGCTGGCATTTTTTACCGTAAATTTTACGGAATTGTTTTTCGCTTTACGCTCTTCGGTCTTCACACGAGGAGGCCGTCACGCGACCGCAGCCGCGGTAAACTAAGCTTTTTTTATGCCCGTCTAACAAAATACTAAATTAATTCAGCTGGACACACTTTCCTTATTTTCTCCATAACAAATGGCCAAGCAAGCGCAGACACTGACAAGATACGCCAATGTTGTTGTGTTTGTTAGGGCTGTGCAATATATCGAAATTATCGAAATACCGCAAGTGTACATATCGCAATATGCATATCGCTACGGCTTGCAATATTTGGGGCCATGAACAAAAGACAAAGAGAAAATCACTCGCTGCTCTTACCTAAATAACTTTTATAGCTTAAATAAGAATCAGTGCATATTGAATTCATAGAGTAAATACTAAGCAGTGTTGTATTTTTCCTTTGTATTATTCAGTTCCTAAACTTGTTAAAATGACATTGTAATACTCAAGTAAAACACTACCGTTCACTTTCAGAAGTTGTTGTAGGGGTGCTTTCTTATTAGAATCAGAATCAGAATGAGCTTTATTCACCACTTAAGTGTGTGCAACTTTTTTTTTAGGAATTTGTGGTTTTACAGGAGCTCTTGATACATACATACATACAAATAACCATATATATATATGACACAAGATAGTTATAGAAATTCACAGAACTGACTCAGCAACAGCTGAGTAAAACTGTTTCATCTGAGCATGTGGCACTTTAAGCATTATCGTATCGCATATCAAATATCACATTATTTAATGAGTTATCGCATATCACATTTTTCTTCAATATCACACAGCCCTAGTGTTTGTGTATGTTTGTGTAAGAGAGAGAGAGACGGAGAGAGAGACGGAGAGGGAGAGAGAGAGAGAGAGAGAGAGAGAGCGAGAGAGATGGAGAGAGATGGAAAGGTGATCTGGTTTTTCTCCTGGTTTTTTCTCTTTTCAGATGGCAGCTATCACTGCAAAAACTGATGTTCTTGTCTTGTTTTCCAGTGCAAATATCTAAACATTCATAAATCAAGATAATTTAATGGAGAAGCAAAATGACTGAAGATATTAAGTCTTGTTTTCTTGAAATTAATCAAAATTAAGTGAGCTTTTGCTTTAAACAAGAACAAAGTATCTGCCAATAGAATCAGAAAAAATAGTAATTTTCCATTGGCAGATATTCTTACATATTTTAAGGATAAACTCAGTTAATTTAGATTTTTCACTTCAAATTTGATTGTAAAATATAATGTAAATTTTTTTTTTAAATAATTCAAATTATTAAAAGACAATTGTAAAATAAAAAATAATAAAAATATTTTCCGCTTTGTTCACATTTATGTTTCTGCTGAAGGTTCGACTGTATTACTAACATTAAAACATTTGCTATTATCTTCAAATTTATTGTAAAAAAAAAAAATATATATATAGATATATATATATATAAAAATGAATAAAAAAGAACTTTGTAAAATCAAATCAAAAACAATAAAGTATTTTTAAAATTACAAATAGTACAAATTAATAAAAAAAACAAAACAATGTAAAATAAAATTAAAATAATAAAAAAAATTGTACCTCTTTTTCTTTTGAACGTCCGGCGGTATTATTAACATTCAAACATTCACATTAGTCTTCAGTGAGTGATTGATAGATGCACTTTAAAAAATTATTTTTCATACTTGTCAATAAAACAAAGATAATCGAAATACGTTTTACAAGAAAATACTCTTTCAGTCTTTCTACTTTAAAATTTCACATTTTATTCAACGTGTTAGTTGCCGTTTTTTTGCAATTATTTGTGAAATTTACTAGAAATTATCGAAATGGAGTTGGTATAATAAAGTTATTTTTCTGACTCCTTTGGCAGGCATTTGTTCTTGTTTTAAACAAAGACTCACTTAATTTTGATACATCTTTCAGAAATGTTTCATTGTGTGAAACCCCTCGATCTGTCTGACTGTAAAGCGTAGTAAAGTCGCTCTGAGCTGTCCGCTGCCTGATCCGTCGCTCGACTCGTGTGAAGTGCTGAGGTTTGAGGAAACCGTTCAGAAAAACAAGCAGCGCAGAATGTGAGACCTACAGCGCTCCGGCTCGGATCGGCCCAGGATCCTCCCGACGGGATCCAGAACCTCGGGAAAACCGGCCAAAACAGGAAGCGCTCAAAGCTGGCAACAGGAATGTGAATATTTGTGTGTTTGTTCTGGCCAGTGCTGCATGTTTCAGATGTTTTACAGTGTTTTTCTTTGAAGAAAGAGGAAAAACACAGTGGATTGCAGCAGGAAGGAAGTGTTCGAGTTATTGGAAGGCTTATCAAGGCCTTTAAATGGCTCTGTGTGTGTGTGTGTGTGTGTGAGTGTGAGAGTGTGTGTGTGAGAGAGAGAGTGAGTGAGTGTGTGTGAGTGAGTGTG